CCCATTCTGCACTCCACCCCTGTAAAATGTCTCTGGTATATAGTTGCTCATTATTATTATTATTCCCCCCTTGTCCTTTATGCTCCTGCTATGAGTGAAACTATCCGATATTTTTCTTTTTCTCTCTGGTTTATTTCACTAAGCATGACCCTTTCTAGTTCCATCTATGTTGCTGCAAAAGGCATGAGTTTATCTTTTTTTGATTGCTGAGTAATCTTCCATTGTGTATCCATTGTGTAGATGCACCACATCTTTTTAATCCAGTCATTTACTTTTGGGCATTTGGGTTGATTCATAAAGCAGCAATAAACATGGAGGTGCAGGTCTTTTTGAAACAGTGTTTTTGTGTCTTTTGGTTAGGTACCTAGGAGTGGGATTGCTGGATCATAGGGAAGCTCCATGTTTAGCAGTTTTCCATAGTGGTTGTACTAGTTTGCATTCTCACCAGTAATCCAGGAGAGTTCCTTTTTCTCCACATCCTTGCCAGCATTTAGTTGACCATCTTTTTTTTGGTTTGAAATCTTGGTATTTTCTTATCTGTAAAAAAGTGTTTTTAATTTTGATTTTGTAGGCATTCCTTATTAGAGAAATAAACTCTTAGTGTATAGTAATCAGATGAATATTCTTTTCTAACTTTTTGTTACTTTTTTGTTGTTTTTCCCGAGCATTTATTTTTATCTATTATGTAATAATATATTTCTTTTTTTTCTTAAGGCATCTAGATTTATGTCATACTCTGAAAAAACTACTCTAAAATCATAAACATTAAAATTTGTTCCTGATTTCTTCTAGTACATACATGCTTTTGCATTTGTTTTTTGATTTTTGCATTTCCTGGTCTGTGTTGTGAGTCTAAGTGGTATTTTCTTTTTTCTACATGGCTACCCATTTGCCCAACATCAATTTATATTTCTTTGTCTCTATACTACCATGAAATCCCTTATTTATCATATGAACTTCTAGATGCATTAGGAGTTCCTTTGGGGCTCTCCATTCTGTTTCATTGACCTGTTTACTCATGAACAAATGCAATTATGTTAATAAATTGGGGCATTTATATTACATTTAAAATTACTTTAATGTTTTGATTAACTAGTCCTACTTTATTATTATTTTCTTTCAAAAACTTTCTACTTCTTTGTTTTATTTTTCCAGAAATGAACTTTAGAATCTACATAGTTAAGAAATAAAAGTATTTTGTTGAGATTACACTAAATTTATGATTAACTTAGGGAAAGTTAACATTTTAGTGATGACTCTTCTGTGTAAGAATGTAAGTCTTCCCATCTGTGTAGATTTTATTAGTGTCTCTGAGAAACATTAAAATGTATGTAAATCTTGGACCTCCCTGGTGGCACAACTGGTTAAGACGCAGCGCTGCAAGTTAGCTGCAGCCTCTTCAGTGCGAGTTCCATCCCTGGCCCGGGAGATGATCTGTACAGCACAGTAGGCCTCTCCTGAGGCCCGCTGCAACCATCAGAGTGTACCTCATCGAGCTGCCTGTTATGCTCCCCTCTCTGCCTCTGGTGAATGCTCTGACTACCTGTGCACCTCTGGCCTGTATCCCAATTCTTTATGCGTAAGTTAATTTTAAAAAATGTATGTAAAGCTTCCTCAGTTCTTACATTTATTCCTAAGAATTTTATCTTTTTAGGTAGCTTTGTAAATAAATTTTATCTTCAATTACAATTTGTGCATGGTAGTGTATATACTAATATATTGGAAAGCTATTTATTTTTGTGTGTATTTTTTTTTTGTATATTGCCACCACTTGTTTTTAATAGATTTTCAGTTGCTTTTCTTTGACTGTCAAGGAATAAGCCATATAATATGCCAATAGTGAAATATTTGTCCTCTTTTCAATTTTTTAAAAAAAGATATTTATTTATGCACAGAAGTGTACAGGCTAGAGGTACAGGGCAGTGAGAGGATTCACCAGAGACAGTGGGAAGTAGAACAGGACAACTGACCAAGTACACTTCTGAAGGGAGCAGCGGGCAGGTCAGGAGAGGTCTGCCGCACCATGTGGGTCACTTCCGGGGCAGGGATCGAACTCATGCTGAAGTCGCTTTGGCTTCTCAGTGTTGTGCTTTAACCCACTGTGCCACCATAGAGAACCCTTCTTTTTTAAATTTTATACCACCAATTTATTTCTTTTATAATTGTGTGGCTTTTTATAGTACTTCCCAGTCATTTTCACAATACTGAAACATTGAAAATAATGGTTTTATGTATGCTTGTGTGAATGGGAAATGCTTTATGATGTAGGAGGGCTCTAACCAGTTGAAAAGAACCCTATGCTTCTCTAAAAAAAGTGTTTTTTTTTAATATATATAAATAATGATTGTAAATTTTCATGTATTGTTCCTGGCTTTAGTAGGAATACTTCCATAGCATTTTATTTTCTTTATAAACTATGCTGTTTTGGGGATTGAGGTAGTTATAGTTTACTAAGGAAGTATACATGCACTCCTATTGTATCAGACATTTCTTAATCATTGGTACTGCCTGCTAGACTTGGGGTCTGAAATAATGGGAGACATAGTACAGAAAAGAACACAAATAGACAAACTTAAGATCCTATCTACACTGCATGTACGAACTCTGTAATCTCATGCTAGTCATTTAATTATTTTGACCTGTGATTAATTTGCCTGTTAAATGGAACTGATCCCAGAAGACATGTTCAAGCCACCTGTCACCACCAAATGTCAGTAAAGTAGAAACAGGAATTAAAGCTTTAAAGTGCACTTTGAGCAGACTGCCAGAAATCTGGGACATGGATGGTTAACACCCTAAAGAATCTGCCTTACCATTTCATTTCTAGTTGCCTTTTTACAGTGAGTTGGACAAAGAGAGTTCAGCAGTAAGCAGGCCTTCACTGCTGTCAGAAGATTGTGATGTCCAGCCTTGCAGTCCCTACCACCCTCCTGGACACCTGGCGTCACACTTGTTCCACTGGGCTGAGGCTGGTCTTCAGATAGGGGCTGCTCCCCGCACTCCTCCAGGCGTTCCTTGGGCTGGAGAGTTAACTCAGAGCACACAGGCCATAATCAATATGTGCGTGCAAAATTCCTACTACGCCAACTTAGTGTGTCACCCGATCTCTTCCCCTCCCTCTCCTCTGTTAGAACTGATAATAACTTATAAGATTAATTTCAAACTTAGTTTAGTAGATGGTATGGTAGAGGTTGAAGAGTGAACTAGAGTGATCTGCTGTGCCTAAAGAAAGAATCAAGGTTTTCCAAAGGAGGTCATTTTTTAACTGAGCCATAGAGAATGAATAGGGAAGATACACGCACAGATGAAACTGCTTGATAGATTTATGAAACTGCAGCTTGTTGAGATAATTAGACCATCCCTATGGGCAAATGACAAAAGACACAGTGTTGCTTGTGGATTGCAGAATACCTACTCTGAAGTTTTTGGACTTTGTTCTGAAAATGACTGGGGGCTGTTGAGTACTCATCAAATTTTCTAGTGGTAAGAGTGTATTAAATTGGTAGTAGGGAGATACTTTACATTACATTTGAGGAGGGCCTGAAATAAGACAACAAGAGAAATTAGAAATTGGAAAGAGGTGACAGATTTGGTGACTTCGTAGAATCAACAGGACCTAGATGCTTTTGAACTGAAAGAATAAATTACAATTTACATGCTTCAGGCTTGAAAGAAATAGCGCTCTAAAAATTATAGGGATTCTTATTTTTCCTACAGAAAAATACAATTTGTCTGAGTATAACTTACATAAAAAAGATTGGTAAGATATATCACACACTAAGTATACTAAGTATACATGGCATAGAGGAGAGTCCTATATCTATTCTGCAGGTAAAAGAAAGAGCTAAAGAAAACATCCAAATTGTAACCATATTAATGCACTTAAAGTTAACAAAGGTGAGAAAAAAAATTAAAGTATGATTGCAGTATTCGTGATATATAATTTGAATTTTAGTGTTTTCAGACTTTTTTGAATATATTCTGAACTTAGTGTTTACATTTCAACTAAATTTTATTTTATGAAAATGATACTAAGATAAGTAGTCACCTTTAAGTAAAATAACTTTAAAAAGAATTTTATGTACAAGATGCTTCATGTATATTTACTCACTATTTTTTTCTTCTATTCTAGTTACTCTTTCTAGAAATGGAGAAAATGGTAAGGTCCTTTACTTTCAGTTTAGTAGAATGCAACCAATACTTTTTGTATAGTGATTACTTTGTGTGTTTTTGCTTTCAAAGAAACAAATCTTTAAGTAATTAGAAGGAGATGTGTTACTAGGTTTATTCCTGTTTAATATATTTTTTTCATGTTATTTATATAAATTGAAGTAGCTATAATTTTATAAGGAACCTAGTTTCCTAATTTCATTGATACACTTACATAAATACCTTTGCCACTTCATAGTTGTTTGAAGGTTTTTTGTTTTTTTTTTTAAGATTTACTTTATGTATTTATGCATACAAGAGCTGGAGCATAAGCCAGAGGTGTGGGAAGGTGAGAGGATTCGCCAGAAACAGAATGGGGAGCGGAACAGGCAGACTGACTGAAACACACTCCTGGGGGTGGGGGACAGTGGCAGATACAGAAGTCTGCTGTGCCTTGTGGGTCAGCTTCCTGGTTGGGGGATCAAATTCCTGCTGCAGTGGCTGAGGATAGCTTCTGAGTGCTGAGACTGAACACCCCACCCCTGCACCTCTGGGGAGGCTCTATTTGAATATTTGAATATTTTTTTAATATAAGTTCTAGGTAGAGTTGAAGAGGGAATTTTACTGTCATGGTATATAAATCTTATCGATGGATCCAAAGTAGTAAAAAATTGTACTTTATTACATGTGAACATTTAATGAATTAATCAGACTATAAATTTGCAAATTGTATTACTAATTCATCAAACTTCAGAAACAAAGTTTTGATAAATGAAAATTCAGAGGATTCTTGAATCAAGGAACAGAAATTACTAATACATGTTCTTAATATTGGAAATAATTAGGCATTAACATGGAGTTATTTACCAAGTTCAGAGCCAGTGGGGGGGTGAAACTAATTGACACATTTTATTGGCTATTAAGATAGAATTGTGCAATATGACTTTCACAGTAACCCAGCTCTTTGTGAACTGTTGCACTGACAATGAAAATAATGGTAAGGAGCCTTCCTTAAAAGAGACTTTAGGAGCAAGAAAGTGAAGTACTTCATTTGAACTATTATTATAGAATAAGAGAAGCCATTGAGGCCAGGCTCCTGCATCCTTTTAAGTATCTGACTTTAAACTGCATTATTAATTCATTTTCAAAGGAAATTAAAGTTTCCATAATGACTGTTCAAAGAGACAGTGACTAAAGAGGAAAATCATTGCTTAAAATTTCATCAAAATGAAAGGAAATTTAAGCCCGCTAAGATCAAACTTCAAAAACAAATTTTTTGATAAATGAAAATCCAGAGGGTTCTTGAAATAAGGGGCTTCTTTCCTATTAGGTTAGGTGTCTACCATTTAATTGTAAAAGAAAATGTTGGGATTCCATTGAGTTACTAATTTTTATTATCTTATTTTAAAAGAACATTTTTTTAAAACCAAAAATTAAGCAAATAAAACCTCAGGCAAAAAACAGTACCTTCAAATGGAATACACAATGTTAGCTATGTAAACTTCATTACATTGTTCTTCATGCAGGCCAATAAAACCTTTATTTATCCTTAGGCTTGGGAAACACAAAAATAGGGAAATGCACAAAAAAGAAGCAAAATTTTAAGAAGAAATTAAGTTACGTACATAGGAATAATAGTGTGAAAGAGAAGGAGGAAAAGCAGTGGATTTAATATGTTCTGTTTTCCTTTTATTAACTTATTCATATTAAGCAGCTAACTTTACTGAATCCACTTAAGTGCTTTAATTGATATCTGAGCAAATTATTTGGGGAATAACAGATTTTCAGAGTAATGGAGGAGACTTGTAGAAGTAATAGTTGATTTCCCCTTTTAAAATGAAAAGAATTTCAAACGTTTATACTTGTCTATATTTTGTTTTCTTCAGTTGGTTAGTGCTGCTGAATTACAAGCCAAAAAAAAAAAGTTTAAACACCCGATAGTTTTTGCTTCTTGTAGAAACTTTTCCCACCGTGAAAAACTATAGACCATAACAAGCTTTTATCAGTGTTTGAAAGTTTGAAAATATTTGAATGAATTCTAATCCCTTGCTGTTAAATTTTTAATTAACTTGCTGTTAAATCTTCAGCGAGTTAATTAAATCAAACTCTATCTCTGGCTACAGTCTTTACTGGCTGTATCCTTAAAGGCAGGAATGGAGTGTTTCTTCATTTGTTAATGTTAGGTAATATAGATAGAGGAGTTTATATATTAATGGTTTAAGTGGATTTTAAATTTTTATTGGACTGAGCCTCCTGACCTTAACTCATGTCTAATGTAATACTTTTTCCTGTTTTCACCTAGACTCAATGAAATGTTATTTGTTTTTATTTACCAGGAAAGGCCGTTGTTTACCTTGTGGCTTTCCATCTGTTCTTTGTTATGTTTGTATGGTCCTATTGGATGACAATTTTCACATCTCCCGCTTCCCCCTCCAAAGAGGTAAATTTAATGTTGGTAAATTACCAAATGCTACAACTAATTATGTAATTATTTTCCCTGTGTTACTTTTGTTAAAGCTTTATTGTGAAATGCATTTGTTTTGTTTCCATTCATGAAATTGTTCAGTTAACGCCACATTGTGAATGTGAGTCATAAGCATATTCTCAGATGCAACCCATTGGCATTGCATAGTAAAAGATTGATAATAGTGCTAACGTTTAATCGTACTAATATTTTTCTGCCATGCTATTATTTCTTAAAGACACATTTTATATTACTGTATTAAACTAATATAAGAGACTAAATTAGGAAAGTAGTTTATTTTTAGAAATCCTTTTTACAAACAAATATTGCAGCTAACGAAGTGTTTGTGGGAAACAAATTGTCCAGGCTGTTGTTCTTTAATCTTAATATGGCTAGTGCTTTTTCTCTTTGGAAGTAACATTTGGAAAATATGATCAGTATATATGTATGTGGAGTAAATTTCAAGACCAATAAATCTGTGGCCTTTACATAGACAGCTGAATTCACCAAAAGTTCAGTAGAGCTTGATAGATAATTAAGAATGCATTTTCTAGAGATAACTTACCGAGTTTTATTTTCTCCTTTCACACATTACTTAATTACAGACTCACTTACCTTACTGGAAAATGGAGCTACCAATAGTAACTTTCTCTGTAAGATGTTTGTGAGAATTAAGGGAGATTGATTCAAGTAAAATTTTTAACATAGTAATTGCCACATACTTAGCACTTAAATGTTTGATGATGATGATGATGATGATGATATGTAATTATCTCCTTTCCCTTTAAATTCATTAAAAATTATAGATTATATGTTTGAAAAGAATAATTCCACTTTAACTTTTAATAGAATATATGCGTAGAATGTATGTTATATATTATATACAATATATTACATATACAGTATATTTCATATATAATAAATGTATGCTTGATAAGTTTTTACAAAAGCAAAACTTTTTAATAATCACCGTCAGTTTAAAAAAAGAGAGCTTTATCAGCAATTCTTCAACTTCCTCAAGCACCCTTCCAAGCAACCACTGCATGAGAAGTCCTCTGCCGCCTCTTAATAGCATTGGCTAGATTTGCCTAGTTTTGTATTTCATATAAATGAATTGCTGCAATCTGTATATTTTTATGTCTAGCTTCTTTCATTTACATTATATTTGTGTGATTTATCCATGTTGTTGCATATAGTTGTACATCATTTATTATTGTTATTTAGTATTGTTGCATAAACACAGTGTATTTATTTGGTATGTTGGTGAAGGGCATGGGCATTTTGGGTAACTTCCAGTTTAAGCCTGTTACAAATAGGACTGCTGTAAAAACATAGTGTACACATACATACATAATTCTTTGGGGTGAATGCCCAAGAGTGGAATTACTGGATCATATGTTGTGTGTACATTCAGCATTAGTAGAAAATGCCAAACAGTCTTGCCCATCTTTTTCTATTGGATGTTTATGTTTTAAGAGTTAATGTGAGCCATTAATCATACTTAGTGTTTCTTCAATATTTTCTGCCAACATTTGATAAGTCAGCTCTTAAAATGAGTTTACAAACTGCCATTCATACCTAAGTTGAAAAGGAGCTAATTTTATTTAATCAATTAGTAATAGTAATGACACTTGAAAACATAATATGTCTTAAATAGTTCTCACTACAGAAAATAAAAAGATAAAAGGACATTTGTTAATACTTTTGAGAAGTAGCATAGTAAAGTTTTTTAAAATGCAGGATCTGGTGCCAGATTGCACAGGTATTACTCATCCTTGGTCACTTACTAGCTGTACAATACTGGAGACTTTCTTTAACTATCTGTACCACATACATCCCCTCTGTAAAATAAGGATAATAGCAGAATATAGCTAATAGGATTATTGAATATGTGAATAGTAGTATTTATAATAGTATATAGTTAAAACTTTAATAAAGTGCTTAGAAGAATATTTCATATATCATATAAATAAGTATTTTTTTCTTTTTTAGTTGTTTTGATGTTTTGTAGCTATTTAGCATTCAGCCTAGGTCTTAAGCCTTTATACTCACTTCATCCTTCATGGTTCCCATTTCCTTTGGGTTCAGTTTACTGCCTAAGCTCAAGCCTGCTGGCCCTGCAATGGCATGTTCTACTTCCCGTGTCATAGAATTTAACATGTAATACTGTAATTGCCTGTTTATGTATCACCTTATTGTCAGTTTTTTGAAGGCAGAGATGATTTCTAGCATATTCTCCACTATATATCTCTCCCATAGTAGGTATTCAACTAATTTTGTATGAATTTATTATTAAATCATCAAGGACTGGCTAAACTAAGCTGCACTGATGACCTAGAACAGGTATTTAAGGTTCTTTTTCTACATGATTTTAACTATATGCTGACTGAGAAAAGTCTCCATAAGTAATTACAAAGCTGTGAGACAGGTTCACATGTAAATGCATTAAAAGGACTCTATAACTGAGAGGTTACAGCAACACTTGGGGATTAAATATAGGGGAATTGACTGTCTAAAAAGAAAAACTGTACATTTTTAACATGGTATAAATATGTATATTTTTTAAATTTTAGTTAGAATACTTATTGAGCAGCTATTGTTTGTCAGACTGTGCTAAACTCTGGTAATAAACAGAACATGACAAACTTCCATTTTAAAAGGAGTGATGTGATAAACAGTAAATAAAATAATTATAAATTGTAATAAAATTAGATAACATGATGATGTGGTAGAACATAACAGAGTAGAAAGCTATTTAACACAGTATGACCAAAGAAATATCTGAGGAAGTAGCATTTAAGTTGAGACTTTTATAAATATCTCTTTCACTAAAGTATGTGCTGTTATTTGTAGCTCTGTTCCTATGTCTAGAATTTGATGTGAATAAATGGTAAGGAGGTAGACTATGAAGAGAAAAATAGGCATCTTACTTAACTAAACATTACTTCCCACAAAACAAATAGGGTTCCCATCACTTCTCTGCCAGTTTTACAGAGATTGCCAATTAGCTCCAAGATAAAATTATGTATATTTGTTTGAGACACAAGATCCTTCATGAACTAATATCTTGTAACTTCATCTCTATTTTTCTTTCTGAGACTCTTTATCAAGTAAGTTATTTCCCTGAGTATACTATTTCCACATTTATAAAAAAAAAAATTTGTTTATTTATTTATATAGAACTGGGGTATAGGCTAGAGGTGCAGGGGCAGTAAGAGGATACACCAGAGACAGAGTGGGAAGCAGCATAGGCAGATTGACACTGCTGAGGGGACCAGCTGGAAAGACAGAAGTCTGCCACACCATGTGGTCACCAACCTGGCCAGGGATCAAACTCGCTGAGGCATCTGTGGCTAGCTTGGTAGTGCTGTGCTTTAACCCATTGCAGCACCACAGAGGGCCCTATTTTCACATTTTTACATTTTGTTTGTGCCCTCCCTTTGCCAAGATTCTGTTTCCTTCTTTGTCTTCCCGGAAGATTCCTGTTTCTCTTCCAAAACCCAGCGTTGGTTATCACGTCTTGCAAATAACTTTACTAGCAGTTTCCCCCACCTTCCAAGGGAGCTCTTATCACATTTTGTAATTAGGCTTATTATGTTGACTTGTAATTCATAATTGTTTATTTACATAGTTAACATTCCTACAATCTAATGGAAATATACTTTTGAAGGAAAGGGCTGTTTTTACTCATGAATCCCTAGTACCCAATACATGCCAAGCTCTTGATTGATACTTAATATATATTTAACATGAACCACCTGAACACGAAATTTACGATAATGACATTTCATAGTTTGAATTCTGCTTAGTAGTTGTTTTTAATTCAAAAGACTTCTAGCGATTTCAAAAATCTAATCTATTTTAAAATTTTGTTTTATTTCATTCTTCACATAAAAATTCTGGTACCATCTTGAGAGTTTCATTTAAGCTTTTCATAATTTATAACCTTAGTTCTTATGAAATGATGTTTAGGTCTGGTATACTACAGCAAGCTAGTTATAGAACAACCTGTTCAGATTTTGCAAAGAAATCTATCCAGATACACATCTCCTATCCAGATACACATTTAACATCATACCATCTCATTTTTATACTCAGCTATGATTAATTCAGAGATATTTCATGTCAGGAAAGAACTTTATAACAAATTACATTTCTTATAAAAGAGAATAGGACATCTTGCAAAGTACCAAAGTATTTCTATACCTGAAAATGTCAAGAGGGGATGGGTCTGAGAAATGTTTAAAGATTCCTGCCTGATGAAAATTACTTGTGGCCCCAGAATCTCAGCAGTAAGGTTGTGTGAATCTCTGTGTCTTATTCATTTGACTATGTAACTTCTAGTCCCTTATAGGAAACTTGGGGTTTCTTGTGCCATCAATATTTAATTGTATGAGGCAGCCTAGGTAATTAAATAGATATTTCTACTTCCTAAGCCATGGTGTTTTGGTCAGGTATGACTAGCAATCTGTAAAAAGAAAGAAATTTTTTTTTACTTTATCAAAAATAGAGGAAACTATAATAGAATTCAAAATACTTGAGTTTAATTTTAATTCTGCCAGTAATTATGCACTCTTAGATAATTCCTTAGTCTCCTCAAGCCAGAACTCTTTCTCCTATGCCACACTATTGCCTTGTTTATAGCAGAAGAGGCTACAATACAAACTGACATTTACTGATAATGAGATATAAAGAGTTGTGTTTGCAGACAAACCAAAACATTTAAATATAAAAAAGGTAAAGTTCCAGTGACGATTACTTAGCCCTATAAATAGTAAAAACCAAGGAACAGTATTATTAAAGTATAAAACATGACAACTAAGAGCAAGTTCTAAAAGACTTCTCATGCTAAAAAGGACCAAGAAACTTAACGCTCTTGGTTATATGAAATAGATGAATAAAATGAGTATCCTTATGGAATTGGGTTAACAAAAGAAAGAGTAACTATACAAATCCTTTTAATAGAAAATACTATGTAAAGAAATGAACTAGCATAATTCTCACACCCAGTAATAAAAACTTTAAAATGGAATTTAGAAACAATCATAAAGGAATTTCATTGTGAACTGGTGACTGCACCTTCCTGGAAAATCCTTAATAATTCTGAAGAAAGTATTCCCACTGTTAGCTTTTTTAATGCTAAAAAAAGTAATAAAAGAATAATTTGTTGACCTCTTTCTGACATTTGGCCAGAAATAGCAGGAAACCCCATGCCTGAGATTTAGGCAACTACTCAAAGCATGTGGATCTTTAGATAGTCTTCCAAAAATTAAAAATTTTTTGACACTGACTTTCAAACACTAAGTGTTTTACTAATAGAAAAGTAAGTGTTAAACCCCTTTGCTGGAGGAATTTAATTTTCTCTGTAACAAAGAAACAAAAATAACTCATTCATGTTCTTTACATTGTGAGTATGGAAGGCAAGTCTCCTTTAATCTGTCAAAAATAGTTTTGTGAAATATACTTGATTTAGTTTCTTAAATTTGAAGCTAAATTTAATTTACATTCATAAAGTACAATAATATTCTGGGTAAAACTTTGTTTTTCTGAATATGATAGTAGTTGTAGGATTAAAAATCAAGTAATAGTTATTTCTACTTTTGTAGTTCTACCTGTCAAATTCGGAAAAGGAACGGTATGAAAAGGAGTTCAGCCAAGAAAGACAACAAGAAATTTTGAGAAGAGCAGCAAGAGACTTACCTATCTATACTACATCAGCTTCAAGGAGTAAGGAAAACAAATTTTACATTTTCCAAGGAATTTTTAGAATGTGGTCATTTATGCCACATACATCTGTACAATTTGATTAAGTAGATAATGTCTGTAGGAGTAAAATTTTCCTGTTTTTTTGTGATACTGAAAATACAGACATGTATTTATCTTTTGAGAGGTATTTTTAAAAGGTTTTACTTTAATATGAGTTGCTGCATATTTTTTCATTCATTATGTACATTTTTTCATCTCAGTTGTAATACCCGTGGACTTTCCAACACCAGTTCACCCATGTGCCATCACCCTAGTCCCTTGCACTCTTCCCACCCCAGTTTTGATCCTATTCTCCTCTCCATTTCACCCCCCCGTAAAATGTCTCTGGTTTATATTTGTCATTGTTTTCATTTTTACATTATTGCAATTGCTTTTTGCCCTTGATTCCTTTAACACTCCTGCTATGAGTGAAATCATCCTATATTTTTCTTTTTCTTTCTGACTTATTTCATTAAGCATGATCCCTTCCAGTTCCATCCATGTTGCTAAAAAAACATGAGTTTATCTTTTTTGATTTCTGAGTAATATTCCATAGTGTATATATGCCACATCTTCTTGATCCAGTCATCTATTTTTGGGCATTGAAGTTCAATCTACATCTTCCCTATTGTAAATAAGGCAGCAATAAACATAGGGGTACAAGTAATGTACCCCTATGGTAGATACCTAGGAGTGGAATTGCTGCATCATATGGAAGCTCCATTTTTAGCAGTTGGAGATACCTCCAAACAGCTTTCCATAGTGATTGGACCAGTTTGCTTCCCACTGGCAGTATAGGAGAGTTCCTTTTTCTCCACATCCTCGCCAACATTTGTTGTTGCTAGTTGTTTTAATAAATGCCATTCTCACTGATGTGAGATGGTATCTCATTGTGGTTTTGATTTGCATTTCACTTATTACAAGTGATGCTGAACATTTTTTCATATGCCTGCTGGCCATCTGCATTTACTCTTTGGAGAAGTATCTTTTTAGCTCTTCTAATTTTTTGACGGGGTTGTTCACTGTATTTTTGCTGAGTTTCATTAGCTCTTTGTATATTTTTGTAATCAGTCCTTTATCATTAGTATTTTGTGCAAAAAATTTCTCCCGATCAGTGGGGTGTCCCTTTGTTTTGGGTAATGTCTCTTTTGCTGTACAGAAGCACTTTTAATTTGATGTAGCCCAGCTGTTTATACTTTCCCTTCACTGTCCTTGCCTTGGGTGATGTATGTTTAAAGATGTTACTGAGGTATATGTCATCAAGTATTTATTTCACCAATATTTTTGTCTATATATTTTATGGTTTCAGGTCATATGTCTAGTTCTTTAATCCATTTTGAGTTTTTTTGTGTGTGTATGTTTTGAGATAATAATCTAGCTTCTTTTTTTTGGATGTAGCAGCTCAATTTTCCCAGCCCCATTTGTTGAACAACCTTTCTTTGTTCCATTGCATATCCTTTGCTCCATTGTCAAAGGTTGGCCGTCCATAACTTGTGGGTTTATAACTGAGTTTTTTATTCTGTTCCATTTGTCTGTATGTCTGTTTTTGTTCCAATATCATGCAGTTTTGATTGTTATGGCTTTGTAGTATAGTTTGAAGTCCCTTTTGTTTTAGTCAGGAGAGCTTTGGCTGTTTGAGGTATTTTGTGGTTCCATATAAATTTCATCATTATTTGTTCTGTTTCTTTAAAGAATGTCATTGAGATTTTTATTGGAATAGTGTGTGTATAGGAAGGCTACTGACTTGTGTGTAGATTTTATATCCTGCTACTTTACTAAACTGCTTACTTGTTTTGATTAGTTTTTCTGTGGACTTTTTAGGGTTTTCCATGTAAATTATCATGGAATTTATTGTCTGCAAATAATGATAATTTTACTTCTTCTTTCCCTATTTGGATTCCGTGTACATTTTTTTCCCCTGACTTATTACTTTGGCTAATATTTCCAGTATTATGTTGAAGAGCAGTGGTAATAGTAGACATCCTTGTCTTGTTCCTGATCTTAAAGGAAGGGCTTTCAGTTTTTCTCCATTGAGGATAATATTGGCTGTGGGTTTGTCATATGTGGCTTTTATCATTGAGATATGTTCCTTCTATTCCAAAAATTTCAAGAGCTTTCATCATAAAAAGATGCTGAACTTTATCGAATGACTTCTCTGCATTTACTGATATGATTGCATTGTTTTTAGTTTTCTTTTTGTTGATGTAATGGATTATAATAGTTGATTTTTGGATGTTGAAACATCCTTGTGACCCTGGGATAAATCCCACTTGGTTGTGGTATATTATTATTTTGATGCATTGTTGGATTCTGTTGGCTAAGATTTTGGCATCAGTGTTCATTTAGGGAGATTGGCCTGAGGTTTTCTTTTTTTGTGTTGTCTTTGTTGGGTTTTGAGATTAGCATAATGTTGACTTCATAGAATGTATTTGGTAGTATTCTTTCTTGATTTTTTGAATGAGTTTATACAGAATAGGCACTAGTTCATTTCTGAACATTTGGTAAAATTCATTTGTAAATCCATTTGGTCCTGAGCTTTTGTTCTTGGGGAGGGTTTTGATTACTGGTTCATTTTCACTGCTTGTAAATGTCCTGCTTAACTGTTCTATTTCTTTTTTATCTAGCTTTGGATGTAAAGTTGTAAGAATTTATCCATCTTTTCTAGATTATTGAACTTGTTTGCATATAGCTGTTCATGATATTCTCTGATTCTTTTTATTTCTGCTGTGTTTTTCTTTTTTTTTTTTTTCTTTCTTTTTTTGTGAACCCTGCTAGAGGTTTGTCTACTTAATTTTTTCGAAGAACCAGCTTTTGGTCAGTGATTTGTTTTGTTTTTTTTTTTTTTGGATTATTTTTCTAACTTCTGTTT